CCTGCCATTTCAAGGCTTGGCCTCTGCTGAGTAGCGTGCCAGTTCTACCGGACTGAGCCAAATGGTGTGCTGACAAACACGCAAGCTAAATCAGTTAGCAAGCCATCCTTGAAAGCATCAGCACCTCCTTTCCCAGAGTCAGTTTTGTAAAGCTCTTAGATAAAATAAGCCATACAAAATGCAACTGTCACCATTTTTAGCTTTTCTGTAATGTATGGTGTTTGAAATGAAAGGTCTTCACATGCCTTTGTTGCAAAATTGCCTGGAATGCCAACTTGTTAGGCTTTAAATTGGTAGTATATAACTGGTAAATTTTGAGTGCCAAAACCATATTTTCCTCTATTATAAACTCTGTTAGGAATATAGAAACCTCTTTGTTAAATGAGAAGTTGTCTAACATGGCTGGGTTTGAGGTTCACAGCTTTTTTAAAAGCTCTGCCTTATTAGAGGCCATCAAACTTCCTCCTACCAAACTTGCATGGATTTTTCTTCAATAAAGAAATCCAGCGAGGACTCCTAAACTGTCTCATCAGAGTGAGATAAAAGTTTGATGTTCTTATCTACACTGTGAAATGAACGGCAGCGTACAAATATCTGAACTACCAGAGACCTAGGCTGATAACTTCACACGATTCAGTCCAGCATCACACACACAGACTGTGTTGAGATGCAGTGTAATGCCAGTGGCCCAATGCTGTTAACAAGTTAGCAAGTACTGCATTCACTAACTTGAGTGACGAGTCAGGTTCAAACATCCACACCTCATCCAGTTCCAAGCTGGATTGTATTTTACCTACTTAGCTGCCCCTAAGAGGGGAGCAAACTTGCCCTGCACTTCCTAACTTAGCACAGGAAGAGACTTAGAAGGCTATAACCTTACCTTGTGTTACACGCTGCCTTAGCTGCCTTACTTCCTGACAGGCTAAGTCCAGCCTTCCACTTGCAGCTCTGTAACCCTTCACCTAAGTGGTCTGGCCAGCATTTTCCAAATATTTCCTAGCTGTACTTTTCCTCTGCTGTTCTCTCCATGCTGTTATTCTCAAGGCCCTTCTCCTGCAAATACTAATATGTCAACAGGTTGTACTATACTGCAGTGTAGCCCTTCTCTCATCTGCCCTTTTCCTATCCCTTGGCAGTAGCCTTTGGTGTACAATACAGAGCCCAATAACGTGTGCACAAAGCTCAATAAGCAGCTAGAGTTCAACACCTGCCCTGATGCAGCACTACCAGCACTGTAAGCAGGAACAAGCAACAGGTTGTCTGAGCATGTCCCGATGAAAACCACAGAACTGCTATGGGGAAAGAACATTGGAAAGAACATCCAGAGAAGGATGCTCATTTGGGAGATATCACCATTTGCCTTCCAAGCTGGCCACCAGGAAAACTTTCTTCTTTAGCTTTTTAGTTTCTCACTCGTTTCCTTTCCTTTTTCCATGAAAGTTACTTTCAGCGTCAGTATCAATTTACCCCACCAGCTGCAGGCATTGCAAATGGATCTTTGCACCTTATTATTAAACCTGTTTGAACACCCTCTGTGTAACACACTGCCCATATAAATATGTTCTACTGCATGCATCCTTCTCATGCCCAAATCAACCTAAGCTGCCCTTAACTTCCAAACACACGTGCCCCCTGCTCTGGCGAGGGCACAAGCTCACGTATGACGAGGTGAGGAGGTGTCTAAGTACATTTGTAAGTAAACTTCTTTTTTTCTTCTTCCCTCTGAAAACAGATTAATTTCTGAGCAGCTCAGCTCCTAGTCTAGGAGCCATAAAATTTTCAGGGACACAAAGGCTGGGTACAAATGAAGGAGGAGGAATCACTGCCACTTCGACATAAATTATCTTAGCCTGACATGGAATCTAGATGTCAGCTTTGCATACAAATAGCAGCTCTTAGATCACATTTCCATGAGATACTGAAAAGGATCTATTGTGCCACCTGAAACACTAGATGTAACTGGTCTAAAGATATGCCCTGGGATGAACGTAATACTTTTATTTTTTTCCTCAGGCCATTCGTCTTGCCAGAATTGAAGTTCCCTAATGCAGTCTCCTAGTCTTAACTGTATCTTCACCTATTTGAAAAGAACTTTTTTTTTTAAACAGAGATCAGTAAAGAGAATTTAGACACAGTATAAAAGACAAAGCTTCCAACTTCCTTAACATATTTTTCATTTGTTTTAATAACACATAATAATCTACAGTCAGAAACCGATGAAAATGAAAAGTATTTCTTACATCATGTTGCCTACATTAATTTTCAATTCTTTTTTTTTTTAACAGTCTATATGGTCTGCATTTACTTGGGAACTCCAACAACACTTCTATTCTACTACCCAACTTCCAAAAATCAGCAAACTACTCCTAAACACAACATAGCAGTAGAAGATAATAGATGCAACACATTATACCACAGGACCATAATACAGTGCTACAGCTGTGCTTCATATTGGGACTCTGCTCAATATTGTAACTGATCCAGAATCTGTCTCCAGACTTCCCGCTGGTGAGGGTCAGTAGGAGATGCACAGCAATGCTGACTGGGAGAGATGCAGGTTCCTGCCCATGGAGGAGCCGGTGGCACTCATGCAGCCAGCCTGAGCCACATGGGCTGCACCGTGCTGCAGGTCAGTGCCCAGCGTGGATCATAGGACAGGGCTGTGCTGCACAAATCCCTCAGCCACATGACACACTTGCTGCAAGAGGGGGAGCTGCCCGCAGGTATCATCTGCATGGCCTTGCCTTTATCTAACAGCACAGCAAGAAGTTCTCACGTGACCATCATTCCTGACTATAGCAATGACAGAGTTGTCTCCTTGTAAGAAAACCCTGTAAGAGTGCAAATGAGCAAGAAGGGGAGAATCTGCTGTGGCTGAGGTCTGCGACTCACACTGTACATGGGGCATGGTCCTGTTTGATGCTACACTGCTCAGAGCTCCCAACATCTGAAGAGGAAGGAAATTATCTGCACTATTCTCTTCCTACACTGGCAGCTCTAATAAATAGCATTTCAAATGATGCCTTACAGAGCCGAAGGGCCTTTCTTACTGAAGTCATAATGGGCCAGCACCTCCCAAAGCAAAACAAGGTGAAGAACAATTATTTATTTCCAACACAGGATAGTCCCCAAACAGTACTATACAGCATCATTCTTCTCTTTCCTCTTTCCTCTGGTACTCGTGTGTGAGCTGCTGGATGGACAGGAGGTACATGTCTATGCAGACAGACAGGTATGCCCACTTTTGTACTACTTAGTTTGAGTTATTTATCAAATTACTAGCCACAGCATCATCAGCCATCCTGCATATGCAACTGCACTCAAATAATCACAATGAAGCAGGCAAGCACAGATTCCGACCTTCTGTCCCACCCTGCCTGTTCCTTTTGCAATCAGAAAAATCAAATGCCCTTAGCTACCTAATGTGCCCAGAAAAACAGTGTATGTATCATTTTACCCTAACATGGAATAGTGGCTCTCATGAAAGAAAGCTCCCAAAGAAGCAAACTTATAGATGGAACTAGACATACTAATAATTTCCTATGAAAAGAAATAAAATATTAAAAGTTAGCAGCTGTTGAGTGTTTTGAGGTTCTGCTTCCACAAATATCTTTCTGTAACTAAGTTCAGATTCCAGAATTTCCCATTTTATATCTTTTACTAGCTTGCATTTTTTCCAGTCTAACCTTTTTATCTGTTAGTCAAACTAATCTCACTATAAAAGCAATTCAAATAAATGTAGGATTTCTAAATATTAAGAAAACTCATTTCAAGCACCATAATTAGATTTTTAAACCATGACGTATGTAAGCAGAGACTCAGGTCAGCAGTGATTAGAAATATAACACAAGTAATACAAGAATCAGGTATTGATCTGTAAAGTAATGAAAGAATTTTCTTCCAGGTTATTTCTGGGTTGTTTTTTTCTTCTTCTACAGTTCTAGGTATTCCTGCTATTAAAAAACCCAAACAAACAAAAGAGCCAAACAACAACAACAAGAAAAACCCCAATCCGGAATGAAATGTTAAAATGCTACACCTAAAGGTATCATGATTTAAAAATACAGAGAAAAGTAAAACAGAATTAAGGTAACTGAAATATTTTCCTTAGATGAATCTGAAATAATGCTTTTTCATTTTAAACTCCTAATTTTTTAAACATTGCTGTAAATTCAGTTTCTAATAAAAGAGAAATTTTGAAGTTTAACTTCTTCAGAGTTCATTACATAATTCTTTTTGATAACTATGAGATGCAAAAACATGAACAGAAAATCCATTAAGCAAAGCTTTATAAGAAAGGCAACATTTTTCACTGATAAAAATGCTATTAGAACTTCCTGACCTGTCTTGTTTTGTTTTTTTCTTATTTTACAGACCACACTTGGTCTTACTTTTGAAGCTCCAAAAGACCTGATCTAATAAAACTCCTCTGTGGAAAAACAAGGAAAAACGTGAAAAAACCCTCTAGCTCCAAGAAAGAAGTTCTTGGGACTGCAAATTAATATGGCTCTAGATATAGGTTTCTAAACTGTGAAATAGAGGATTTTTCCTAACTAAATACTGAGGATTAAGAAACTGAGATAGTTGACCAGGAAGAATGGTCAATAAAGAAGAAATCTGAGAATGGTTTCAAGCCAAATCTTCAAAATGCAGCCCTGGTAATTGTATATCCAAATTCTAATCAGATTCTAATCACATGACAAAACCTCTCTCCCTCCTCATGCTCTTCCTCCTCACTGCCATGGCTGCAGAATGTAACTCCTGTATGCACACTGAAAAAGCAAAAGTAGTGGTTTTACATGCCTTTACTCCTAGTGACATGCTTAGGGCACCTGTCTGCTTTAAGGAGGTAATTATTCACGTTTCTAAATAAGACTGCAGAAACTGCCCTTTAGCAAAAATCTTTTTCCTATTTTACCCTGAAATAAACTAGGAAGCTCATGAAAAATATTTTAAAAAAACAAAAAAAAAGGAAATCAAATAACAGAAAAAGCACAAACCTCTGATTGTACATGCCCCGGAAATTGTAATTTGCTCTGTAATTGGGAATAGGCTTTGGATCTAACGGCCTGTAGATGGCAGGCTCTCCCCTCTTCATCGCCAGACCATTCAGCTCCACAGTCGGAGTTATACTGCCTGCAAAAAACAAATGATGTGAGGCACTTACACCAGAAACACTGCAAAACACACAAGCAGGACTGAGATAATCAGCAAAGAGAGAGCTATGTGACCTTTTTTTAAAAACACTTAAATTAAGAAAAGAAGCAACTAAGAAGACATTTCAGCTTCTCTAAAAGACAGGAATATAGATGCCAACTCAATCACAAGGAATGACAACATTTAAATATTTATCTCACTGCTTTCTCTTGGCAGTTTCAGTGGGTTAATTTTCACATATGAATGAGAAAGTTATGTGACAATCAAACTGGATATTCAACTTTCCCAGTACTTATAATACATTATGACATTTTCTGAAAAAACTCCAAACACTATAAAGACACTTTTATCAATAATGTCTCTTTCTGCTGACTACCACTAAATAAAACCACAAATAGAGCAAAGAAGCACTGAAACAAGAATGAAGTAACAGGAATTACTGCAGACATTCAGGAATCTTACAAGTTGGAAAAAAATGATTTGCAAGACTTGAAAACTTAATACTAACTTAAAAACTATCTAATAGGCATGATCTAACAGACTGAAAAGACAGCTACTGGAAATCAGGGCAACTACAGCCATCTACTGGTAGAATACAAAAAGAGAAAGCAGCCAGCACTTGCCTACTTGCATAGTCTCCAAAATGCCAAATAACAAGCCACATTCTGATTTATTTTTTTTTCAAATGTTCAGCTAACATTTTCTCAAAATATTTTCCTAAGGGGTTCAAAAGAACAGCTGTGATTAATTTTCCAGTCTGCCGTTGAGGTTTTCTATGCCAAATGATGAAAGGGTTTATGCAATACTTACGCAAAAACTTCTCTCATCAACAATTTTTATATTTTCCAGAGCAAGAAATAACTATGAATTCAACTTGATAATAAAAATGAAAAATGTCATTTTGATGAGAAGATACCTGTGCATATACAATGCACCTTTCTTGGAGCAAAATACCAGTGTTAAGTGATATTATTTTAGTGAATTCTTTTAAAGCCTATTTCTCTTGTTATCAGACTTTCCCTTTAAGAATATGCTTAAAGCCAAAAATCTCTAGAAGCTGAGTAATACTCTGCAATGTCAAAAATTAAACCTAGGACCCCTTTTTACAGAGGTCTGAGCCTACTGCTTTCTAAACAGCCAAAGCGACAGTGACTGCGAAGGACACAGGGCAAAACCAGTGTCCTGGTTCTGGAGAAGCAAAATACTGATCTCCAAAGGAGCAGGAGAATACTAGCACACCCCTCTCAAACAAACCTTAATGGCTAATGCTCAGGATAATACTCACAAGTTCTAAGGGAAACTTATTCCTGGGTTTTTTCCAACATACAGAAGATTAACTGCAAAATTACTCCATTTTAAGAAAGTGGCTGAAGAATACTTTTTTAAAAGGGGGGAGTGGCAGAGGGAAATAAAAAGGGAAGAGAGAAAAGGAGAAAAGTGGGGGGGAAAG